CATAAAATAGAGTCAAAGGAAAAATATTTCACTGAACTGTTTTTCTGCACTGCTTTGCACTGCCCAACATAACCCCACATAATCCCACACAGTGCCTGACTGCCCCAGCCAGAGAGGAGATGACTGCCTTTGAGGGAGGCTGTTTTCTGTAGAACCAAAACCAGGGCACAAAATGGGACCTAAACTATAGCTCCTGTGAAGTGAGGCAATGCCAGGCAAGGCAGCTAAATCTCAGCATAACTGAAAATACGAGTTAGTCCCAACAGATAAAATACAATGATTTGGTTTTCAGGGAAATAGAAGCTTCATTTCAATCCTACATCTCCCTTTAAGAATATTTTCAGATATTCAGCAAAACTGGAATAATGCCAATGGGAAACCCATACCAACTTGTATGGGGAGTGAGGCACTACATGTATTCTGTGTCTATATCAGGGTGGATAGTGCCATTAAATAATTCTCAGGAAGAGCATCCAGCTCTAAAGAGTAGTGAATCAGGTTATAATGCTCTGCAGGCACTTTCTTTCTCCCTCTTTTGCCACCAGAGGCTCCAGTTTTGCAGCTGATAGAATCCTTCCTCACTGCCACATATACTTCGGAATTTCCTGATGGTAGAAATGCAGAGGGCATCACTGTTGTTGGGAAGTGCCTCAGACCTATGTACATTATTAGGAGGCCCTGCTATTTTCTGCAGGGCTCTGCACAAGACCAGCAATCCACCTGCTTATATCCATTTACAGAATTAAGGGCCCTCATGGTAGCACAGAGCCTGAGAGATTTACAGCACTACAGAAGTGCTAAGTGTTACAACTAATGGACTAGCAAATGCCAGAGAAGTAGTAAGATTGAAAACCTAGCATCTCTGTCTCTGAGGAGAAGACCCTTATTCACACAGATGGCTTTAACTTAAATGGAAAAAGCAGCTTTTATTGTTAATATCAAAAAACAAGGTAGTAATCCCCAAAGGGTTGCACGAAATGGATATCCCAAAATTTAAAAACCATACTGTTTCCTCAGGAAGCCAGGAATTTTATTCCATGTATTCCTTTGGGAATTATTACCCTAATTTAACACCAAATGATAAATTCTTCATCTTTTAATTACTGAGACTTGCTGATCTGCCATCTGTGTGATCCAACAAGGCTTTGCCCACCCTGTAGTAGCTGTACAAATCAAGGCAGCTCAGATCACTTTGGCAATACTTTATATTCTGATCCAGTCTTTTTCTCCGACTGGAAATATTGACTTAAAATAATAATATAATTTTAAAAATTGTTCTAGCCTAAACAAGAGGCAGCATCGGTCAAAACCTGGCTTGAAGGCCCTGCGCCCACCGGAGGTCGCTGCCTGCTGCCATTTCTCTGCTGCTTTCTGTCTCTCAAAGAATTTTTTTTCCCCTTTGATTTATTTTTCTCTTCGGGAAACAACTCGTTTCTGCCGCTAGAGATCATAAGCTCCTCCTAGTTGATCAGGGGCTTCTTCTTTTGCTTTTGGCCTAACACACACAGTACAGATCAGTCACCACTCTGAGTGGCAGTGGGAACAGTGGTTTTATTTTTAAGTGTCCTTATACAGGCTGTGGAAAGCAAAGGTTGGGGTGTCATAGATTTTAGGCTGGGAGCCTAAGAAACAGAACTGGAACTATCTTATAACTAATTTAAATTGCCCAAAGTGAGACATGAAAAGAAAAGATAACAAAGAAAAAAAAAAGTTCAAAAAAACCAACAGAATTATCTCTTTTAGAGAATTGCATGAATCAATGTCAGGTGCTTGGCTGAGTTATATAAAGGTGAATGAGACATTTAAAAAGAGGTGGAGAAATCACAGAAGATAGGAGGCAAGAGAAAACATTAGAAACCAGAGAAGACACTGTAAGGTGACTCTAGGAAATTAAAACCCATAAGATTGGTAACGCAAACAAAACAGAGAACCTGGTTTGAGTCATAATTTAAGAAATAACATGAAGGGACTGAGAACTGAAAGAAAAACCACATGTGAAGCTCCTATATAACAGGGAATTATACTACCATTATTCACAATGTTTGCACTTCTCTTTCAGGAAAGGCTATTAAAATAAATTTTCCTCGGCAGGAAAAGCCGTGGGAGGAAAACAGAGAAGCACAATGAAGCAAAAAATAAAGTGCATTAAAAAGATATTACATTGTATCTACAAGAGTTTTCCTTTTACATTCATCTTATGTCCTCTGGGACTGTTGCTGGTTCTGTTTGTTTGAGAAAACCACTATAAGAATGAAAAGAGCAGCCCTGTTAGCCTGAGCCTTCCCATGTAACCACGTCTGCCCAGGCTGACTGCAACATTGAGACATCCCTCTTCCTATTGTTGCTTTATAATAAACAGCCCCCTCCACCCAGAGGTTTTAGAAACCTGAAACTACAGCCAAGGCAGAAAATGAGCTTCTGCTTTTCCTGAATGCAGCCAGGGATGTCAATTTAAAATGTGGGCTAACTCACGTTCTATCTTAAATACCACTGGGGATTTGGTCCAGGTATGTCAATTGCACAGCACCTTGAAATTGTCACCAGAATAGTGCTGGTGACACTGGTGAAACTGACCAGACCTGCTCAGGGTATGGGGATGTTTGGAGATTGAGGTGGGAAACTGCAGAAACTGATGGGAGGATTGGGCTGGCTGAGTAACTGCCTCAGACAAAGTCATGGCTCCATGAGTAGTGGTGCTACCTCAACACCACAAAGTCTGGCTTTGCCAATACAGTTCAAAAGTTACCACCCACTGGGATACAGCCAGTTCTGGTTGCAAGGCTGACAAAACTGCCAAGTGGAGAAATGGGCTGTTTATTTCAGTCTTTCATGATATGCTACAGAACTACAAATTCTATAGGTAAGGAGTGCATAAAAACATTACTTTGTTTTTCTTCTCAGTCCTCTCACTTTTCATCTGGTGCTATAAAACACAAAATGGCTCTTTAAAAGTGATAGCTGTTTAGCTCTTTTCCTTGCTTCCAGCAGGCTGCTTTTCCCTTTTCTGGGCCTCAAATACTGTTGGTTTTTTTTCTTCCTTGTCTTACTGAAGAATGTATATTTTGCATTGGGGTGCAACAAATGCTTAAAAAAAAAAAAAAAAAGACTGAAGTTTTTGCTGTCCACAAATGACAGATCGTTAATAATCCATAACACACAGGCTGTATATCTGCTGTTACCGCTCTGAGGTCAACTGGCCATGGTAAAGCAGGAAGTAAAGGGAAAGCTTCAGTGAACAAAAACAAAAGGCTTCTATAAGCCAGAAAAGTTGAAGCAAACTCCAAGCCGCTATTCCCAAGAAATGCAAAATTTGGCTCCATTTATATTTCTCTCTCAATGAGCACATTCATCACTTTGGAAAAAAAGCCAGCAGACAGAGGTGTTCCTTACAATACTCACATCCCTCAAGAAGCGAGTCTTCCTCACCAGCATCCTGACAGTCTGTGACTGCTACAGCTCTTTCTCCTCCATAGGTAAATCACAAAACTACAGCATGACTGAGGCTGACAGGATCCTCTGGGTCCGTCTGCTCCAACCTCTTCACAGGTAGGACCACCCAGAGCAGGCAGCTGCTGAAGTTCTCCAAGGAGAAGATCCCACAGCCTCTCTGGGAAATCTGTACCAGAGCACCACGCAGCACAGAAGTTCTTCATGGTGTTCAGAGGGAACCTCCTGTACTTCAATTTCATAGAATCATAGAATGGCTTTGATTGGAAGGGACCATAAAACCCATTTAGTTCCAAATGCCCAGCCATGAGTGGGGTTGATATCCACTAGATCAGGCTGCCTCAGGCCCCATCCAACCTGGCCTTGAATACCTCCAGGGATGGGGCATCCACAACTTTTCTGCTCAGCCTGTTTCAGCACCTCACCACAGTTTGAGTGAAGAATTTCCTCCCAGTATCTAAATCTCCCCATTTTACTTTAAAGCCATTCCCCTTGCCATATTGCTATCAGCCTGTGTCATTCTCCCTCCTGTTCATAAGCTCCCTTCAAGTACTGGAAGGCTGCCATCAGGTCTCCCTGGAGCTTTCTCTTTTCCAGGCTGAACAAACCCAGCTCAACTCAGATGTCCTTCATAAGGGAGGTGCTCTGGCTCTCTGATCATCTTTGTGTCCCTCCTCTGGACCCACTCCAAAAGGTCTGCATTCTTCTTGTGCTGGAGGCCTCAGACTCTTCCTTTTCCCTGCTGGTCACCCCTGCTTTGAAGCAACTCAGGATACTTTCGTCTTTCCAGGCTACAAGAGCACAGTGTTGGCTCATGTCTGGCTTTTCATCCACCAGAACTCCCAAGTTCTTCTCCGTAGGGCTGCTTTCATTGAGTTCTTCCCCTAATCTGCACACAATTCTGGGATTGCCCTGACCCCAAGTGTGATATTTTGAGTCCTTTGCCTTTGGTTCTGGCAGTGAGCACCACTGAGAGCACCACTGAGAAATGAAAGAATTCACCCCCTTTGGGTGGCAGGACATGGCTCAATTGCATATATCCAGCCCCTTTCAGCTTGCAGCTTCTACAAGATCATTGTGAAAATGAAAGTCCACTGATATGGTGAAAAGCAAAGTTCATGAGAGTCAACCATGGCACTGTTAAAATAATCTTATCTATTTTATCCAATTAATGTTTAACAAGATTTTGAAACAAAACCAAACAACTCAATGACATACAAAAAAAAGAAGAAAAAAAAAAAAAACACCTTCATGGTTATTTATAGAAGAAAAGGTACAATTGATTTCAGAACACGCACACACATCTGTATCAAAATGATAATTTCATTTAACCTTTTACCATAAAGTGGAAAAAAAAAACAACAAAAGAATTCTCTTTTTTTGAAGGAAAAAAATCATACTTGGCAAGGAGCCCAGAGCAGTTGTAGACTTTCCCACTTGCTTTATTTGCTGCTCAGCACCAGTCATATGCTCCAGGGAAGGCTCCACCCTTCTTGCTTTCTACGAATGAGCTGGGAGATGTTTGAACACTGTTCTCATAAGGAAGTGCAAGTAGTGAAGCTTTATGCGCATATTTCCATGAGAGGCTAAAAATGTTAAATAGAAGAAGTTAAGGAAATTGAATTCTTTTTTTTTTTCTTTTTCTTTTTTTCTTTTTCTTTTTTTCCTTTTTTCCTTTTTTTCTTTTTTTCTTTTTCTTTTTCGTGAAGGTAACTCCTATGCTTAAAAGGCTGGTTCTACCAAAGAAAGAAGTGCAGTCACTGGTATAAAAGGAGGAAGAACTTAGATCATCAGGCACACGGTGTTGCTGGTGCAATAGATCCAGAAGGTAATAAATACCCTTTTCCTCTCTGAACCTTGTTTCTTATGTCTAATGCTTGGTAGTCCTTAATCCAGAATGAGGCTCACTGAATCTTATTTGTGTATGGATTAAATTGCCACATTTATCATGGTTAATTCAAAGCAATGTCCTGTCAGGCTTAGCTATGATGTCAAAAAGCAAAGGAGGGAACTGTCCTAGGATTTTTGGAACTGCTGTGTTTGATGGTGTGCCTGACATACACAGCCAAGTAGAGCAAAGTTCTCTTCTTCCAACTGCACCACATTTATCTGTGAAAAACTGGATTTAAAACTCAGGAGTACCTCAGTGAATTTATGTAGCCAGATGGTGCATGGATTCTCTTCTCAAGTCTGAGCGTGGGGCAGCCTTTTGTCTTTGTATAAGAGAAAAACCTCTGGGCTGGCACAGACCAGCATATAACTTCTCCTCTGAAAGTTGTGTATCAGTGCAGACCTTTCTGTATAGCATGCATTGTGTCTCTTGCACAGCAGTCTTCATGAAAAATCTGTTGCCACCGGGGGTATTTATCCTGGCATGCTGGTGTAACTGTTTACTAACTATGTGGTTCCTATTCAGTTAAGATTTAATAAGGTCACATAATCTTTCAAATTGCATCTCATTGCTTTCCATTCTGGAGGAAACTGCACTGCAGTACTTGAGGAGAGATGTGGCCTCAAGTGTAATCTAGCTTTCCACAGTATTTGTACTGTTCAAAACAGCATAAACCAATTAGGGTTTTATGCGAATGCCTGAGTCAATAGGCATGAAATACTTCTTTAACAGAAGGTTCTACTCACATATGTGTGGCCTATGGAGACTTGTGACAGTTCTGATTTTCTCCATAAGAATCAAACCAAACATCAGTTTTTGCCTCTGCTAGATCAAGGTTCCTCAGCCATTTGTAGAAAAATCCTCACGATGCAGTGAGAGGAACCCTCCCACAGAGGACATAGTTGGAGATCATGTCTGAAGATTCTCTGCTCTGTTGGTGTTGGAGAAAGAAGCACAGGAGGCAAGGTAGTAAAGGAGGAGAGAAGGAGCTCAGGAAGCATGAATGGGGCAGCCACAAGTTTGGACTCAGATGGACTGTCTGTTGACCACAAGACCAGGGGATTTGTAGAGTTAGCTACTGTGGTAGTTCGGGTTTATACCTGTGGATGTTTTCTAAAAACAATGTAAAAGAAGTCAAGAAATGGCATAGCCAAGACATGACTTCACAAAGTTTTGCCAAACATGAGTTTAGAAGTGGGCATCCTCCAAATCAACAGTTATTTCACCTACTTTTGAATCTTCACAATATACTGAAGCAGAAGCGGGTAGTGCTACTTCCTCTGAGGTCTGCAAGCTCCAGGAGATAAATAATTTAGACCAGAGTATTTTTAAGTAGACAGAATGAGACTACATGTTACCCTCCATCATCTGATCCTTCAAGTTTCTTTTAATCATTCTAGGAAATAATATGCAGATTCTGTTTTCAGCCGGACTTCCAAGCACTTGCCAAAAAAGATCAATGATTGCATTAAAAAACTTTCTCAGTAGAAACTTATTTCTGGGAGGGTTCATGCAAATTGAGTGCTCTTTCTGCAAAAAGCTTGTCCTGTCCCCAGTCCGTATCAGATGGGTATTAGGGAAATATGGTTATAATATGAAGAAGTAATTCTAAAGAGAGATACAAGCCAACAATGAAGGTTTCACACTTAAAAATGAGCTGAAAAACAAGTTTACTATTTGTTCTGTCCAAACCAAACAGCACATGGTGATATCTTTTTCTTGCTCTCTGTGAGTGATAGAATACGTAATCTACAGACTACACTTTGTTCTCTTTTTAGGCTTTTCTGATCTAGTTGGATAGAAAAAAATGTCTCAGTATAGAAGATTCTATGCTATATTTTTATCAGAATGATTTGTTTCACTTCTCAGGGGCTCTCTGAGAAGGAGTAAAGGAGCAGGTTTAGCTATACAGCTGCATCTGAAGAGCAGGTGCTCCTTTGCTGTTATGTACCAGGAAGCTGTAATTACACTATACCTCCATTTAGCCTTGCTTAGGACACCAACCTTTGAACCCTTATATGATTTTTATTCATACAGCCACATTCAGGATTATTTTGGGTAGGGCAGTTCTTAACACATACTATCCAAGTGATATTCTAGGTTAAACAACTGTGCTGATTATTTTATGCTATTACAGATCATCCTTTTTGATGTTTGGGAATGAATCTTCTATTTTTAAAATAATTTGTTTATAGCTTATATAATATTTATATTACTATTTATTTTTAGTTTTATTTTATATCCACTAGAGATGAGGAAGGCTGTTCTGTTTTAAGTACCGTTGGTGTCTGATCTTAGGTGTCTGATCTCTGTTATGTCCACCAGTAATCCCCTCCTGGAGCACAATGAAGAAGCAGCCTGTTTCAGTCTTGCAGCATTTCAGTTCTCCTTGTTTTTCCTGTATTTCAAGCTCCTACTTCCTTTTCTCCACTGGCTTTGTTTCTTATAACAATTTGCTTTTAGTTTCCTTTGCATCAAGCTCTTGCTGACTCCTTGAATATCTGGAGTCAGCAACTTGCAAGAGAGTGGCCACTGTCACCTTCTCCCCCACCCTGTGCTCAGCAAGCAAGGACTGCTTTCAGAATGAATTTGTGAGCAAGAGTTTTCAAGCAGGATGGGCCCCCACCAGGCCAGGGCTCGATACTCTTCATAGGCAACAGAGAGCTGTCTGTCACCTGTTCTCAATCAGGTGTGTAGTCGGGGAACAATAAGATGCTTTGCCACTTGAGTTTAGGTATACCCAACAGCTAGACAGTGCAACACACTGCTTGCAGAAAACTGAGCAAGCTGAACACTAGGAAGAAAATTTCAGAGTGGCTGTTGCCATGTGTTGGAGGCAGGTTGTTGGAGGCTTGGGGCAGTGGTGAGTCAGAAGCTTAACTTGCACACAACTGGGAAATCACACTGGCTCTCCTGTGAAGTGAATTAATACAGAAGTTCCCTAGAAGATAAACAAGTCATCTTTCTCAACTAATGGATGTGTTGGAATTTCCCCCTCCCCTTCTCTCTCCCTACACCTCTAACACTGTTTCCATTCTCATCTCTTTGGTGCTTTGTTCTAAAGTGACCATGGAAACTAGTGACATCTCAGCACAGCATTTGGATACAGACCTTTCTCTTGAGAGAATAACAGCCTCTAAAATGTGATGCAGATTGTAAGATGCACTGATGCATTTAGCAGTGCAAAGAGGAACAGACACATCAGTCCTACAATGTGATATTTCCAGGATTCTTCCTTGGCTCTTTCTCCTTTCCTTTCCCTTTCCTCATCCCCTTCCCATTTCCTGATAAGAACAGCGCTGAACTAAAAGCACATGTAAGCTGGAGGCTTAGAGCTGGTCTAATCTCTGGTGCTCATACATTTGTTAAGACTTTTTTTAATCTTACATTTTTTTTTCCTCTTTTATCTCATTAACAAGAACAAAACAGTTTAGCATGGTGGAAGTATGTGGCATGTCCAAGTTTTGTTACATCAGCTGCTTTCTGCAGATATAGCTAGAATGGCACATAGTGACATAAAAGATTTTATTAAAGTTACTTACAAAGTTAAAAATTTGAAACTTAACCAAAATGAATCTTACATTAAAAGTAGTGTTTAAAATGAGGCAATCAATCAACTGAGATTTATTTCTTTCTATCGTTTTCTGGGGCAGGGAAATCTTTTTTTGTTCACTAACCAGTCACTTCAGAGTGACTCCACACGTAGAATCTGAGCATCCATTTGGTTGTATATCAGCGAGTGTTTTATTCAAAGTTGCAAATAGCTGAATGATATTCCAAGAAGGAAGTAAATAGCTTACATTTGTTCCTCTTCGCCTGAGGGCATACGAATTTGGTACTTGTTCAGGAGAAGGCAGTGGGAACAAAGCTTCTTATTTTGGCTTGTAGACAACAGAAGCCCCAGTTGCAGGATAAGAGTGCAGTTTCATGTGACTGGGGTGGCTGGAGGGGTGGCTGCATCACAGCTGAGCACTCCTTGTTCTTCCTCTTGATGCTCTGGCTTCAGAGCCTGGGTGGCAAAGGAGTCCAGTGCAAAGTAAACATGAAATAATGTTTTGCAGTGAGCAGGACAGTGGCTTGTTAAGTTACAATGTCAAAGCATGCAGCAAGATGGAAAAACGCATATGCATGCTTTGTGATTGTTGTATTTGTTTAGACAAGTACAAGTTACAATAATTGGTGCCACCACCCCAGTCATCGCACACAGTCAAGCATGTAAGATTGTTGACTCAGGTCCCCTGTACTGAAAGAACAGCTGAGAATATGAAATATATCATCATAGTTTTTCCTAATGTTTGGGACTGTTTGCCACTTAAATCAATCAGGGCCCAAATTTGTCAAAGCTTCCTCTGACAGCAGAACTTGTATTTAGTAAGATGCTTGCCTTGTGGCATGATCTGAGCACAGCATAGGCCTTTCCTTTGCCGTGTTTTGATGAATCATTTTTCTTTCCAACTTGAAACGCAGATACTATTATGATGTCTCCTATTTTCCTGTGCTGTGCCCCAACCATTGAATACTGCTTGAATTTCTTAATCCTTCCTACTTATGCTTGTGCTTCTCCAGAAAAAAATCACTGCTGTTAGGATTCAGACCTTTTACCTGCTAAAGTGAGCTACTTTTCTTCTTTGAAGTATGAACACCTCAAGGGTTTGGGGCAAATATTTTCTATTTTAAGCTGCCTTTCAGTAAGGGAAAATGGTGTTGGGCAAATATCACTTGGACTGAATAACTACTGAAAGAAAAAATTACTAACAAAATGCAACTAAAAGCGAGTATTATATCTCCTGTTACATTTATTTTATAGCTTTGATAACCATTTGAGGTATTGCTTAGTAACCAAATTCTCTTCTAGAAAACAGTGATTCTATGATTTCCAAGTAATGCAGCATTTCTATCACTGGGGTTTTTAAGGTGTTTAGTGAAATATTCCTTTGACATGTCAAGTACTGGGTAGTATTTATGAAAAACAGGCTGTTCCCTAAGGCATTAACACTAAGAGTATGTTTTTGCAGGAACTGAGATGTCTTCACCAAATGATGTCAGTATGGAAGAAATATTGCTGGAAGACAATGAGCAAGACACTATAGAATACAGGATCCTCATGGCCTATGCCCAACGGAAGTTGCCAGCCAGCAGATACAAGAAACTCCTGAAAAATGAGGCAAATGTGCAGAAAGCATCATCCTTAATCAGGAGTGAAGGGGAGCTCCAACATCAAAGAGATAAAAGTGGGCCAAACCAAGCATCAGAATTGCAGCATGGTGCAAAGAAACAGAAAAGGAAAAAGCAACCCAAACAAAAATTCTTATCAAGATACTGCCTGCCCTTTTTCTGCAGTGGAGCAGAGCAGCAAAGTCCCACAAAAACATGTGCACCCAATAGTCAAATGGAAGATTTCTCCACTTCTGATACCTGCACTGGGAGCCAACAAAAAAGGAGTTTTCAGGAGCAAAGTATGTCTTAGTTTTTTCCTTTACTGTCTGTCCTTCATTTACTCGCTAAATACCTTAAATGATTTATGAATTGCTCATCATGTGCTGTTGGATTCCATTTAGGAAATCAGATTGCCGGATAGATCACTAGCTTGCACATGAGATTCATGCTTGTGACCAGCTTTTTGGTTTTTCATCACATGAAGATAAATATTATGCAATTGTCCAGGTTGCTTGTTATAAGCATTGGATTTTTATTTTCATACCTGTGAAAATGTGAAGCACTGGGCAGACTGCAGATCTCCACGCTAAAATCGAGGAAGAGAGATTGTTTGGAGGCCTTTTCAAAGAGTTTTACCATGGAATATATGTTCCACAACAGAGACTGAAGTGCTAGGCTTTCCTTGTAGCTCTGATGCCAAGCAATCAGAAGCAGCCAGCCTCAATTAGGGAGCAGTCCATGTCTCTGGGCTGCCTCTTGTAATCCCACTGTGTATCGGAAACATCAAAGTCTTCCACAATTATATAAACCTTCTTTACTTGTTGTTGTCACTGCCACAAGACTCTTCTCAAGTACAGATCCTGACTGAGATGAGTTTAAAAATAATGCCTTGTCTGAGATTGAGTTGGGGAGGTTATGGGGTTTTGAGGAGGGCATTTTCCGTATCAGGTCTGAATCTGCCCTTCCATATACTAGAAGGAGAGCTAGTGGGGGTAGTTATGCGTTTGACATTCATGATCAGTTCACAAGCATATCTTGTACTCTGGCCCCATGTAAGGTGCTGCACTGTAGGCTTTTTTTTTTTTTTTGCCTTTTCTGCTCTGGAAAGTGACCTGTACCTTAACTTTTCATGAAAGATTGAGAGAAGATGGTGAAGTATCTGCATTAAATCGCCAAATACAGCATATGATATATTGCCATATTTTATACAGGTGTTTGTCTGACTGGTCCCAGTGTGATCCTGATGGCTCACTGACCCTTGGTGTCACAGCAGTTTCTCTCTTACTTCACTGCATGTAAAAATATTCCTAAAATTTATCTCCCACTGACTTCTCTAGCCTAACACCCCATTCTCGATCAGTTTAACTAACTTGGACCAGATCCTGCCCACCAAAGGATCATAATTCTCCCTGCTGCCAAACTCCACAGCGTCTCCCAATAGTCATTATGTCATCCCAATACATTTTGCTAGCCATAATCTTCCATCATCTGGATCCAGATATCACCATCAGCTGTGTCAATTTTAATTTCCATTTCATTTTACATTGCTAAGGAAAGCTCTCAGAAGTTCTGATGGTCCTCCCAGTTCATGACCATGGTCTCTGCAGGTGGCAGCAAGACCTCAGTAGCACCTTACCCTGCTCCCATTTAACTCCCTGGTGCAGGTGTCTGGCCTCTGATCCAGATGTGAATTGTCCTTGAGCTGTCGACCAGATCGCTGCCCTTATTCCTAAAACATTATTTTTTATATCTTGCACTGCTGACAGCTGCAAAACACACTTGGTCAGGCCTTTCTGCAGCAAGTAGAGGTGCTCTGTGGGATCGCTTGCCTGAGGAGAGCATGTTCTGTCTAAAACCAGTAATCTTCTTAGGTTTCTGAAGACATAATCATACACTGTCACAAATGGCCCACTCATCTTCTTAGAAATTCAGTGGCTCTGTATGTGAATGGGAGGAAGGAAATTTCTGGGGGTTAATTCAGCACCCTAAAAATGCAGTTTTCACTACTGCATTAGCACCTCACAACAAACTCTGCCTTTGAATTTGTTAAGTGTTTTGGATCAGACCACAGCTGAGCTTGTCTTGCTGTCTGCCAATTGCACTGGAGATGCCCTTAAAGAGGGTTTGCACTTGCATCCCCAGCTCCACAAGGCTCACTGTGAAGACAAGTGCCTTCTAGCTGAAGCAAGTCTTACAGTAGTTCCTGTTGTTCCCTGGGCTGTGGCAGGAAGCCCAGCAGAGTTCCCTGAGTGAGAGGTGTCACCAACAAGGTCAGCGTGCTGGGTGGATGAAGTCAGTCTGGCTGCTGGGTGCTGAGTTTTCGCAGTGCTTATGTCTTCTTTACACAACAGTGTTGAGGATAGGAGAAGCTTCTGTGCTAGAGGTTCCTCTGAAGGGAAGCCTTCTCTTTTGCTTAGAGTTAACTTGGAAGAGAGCATTCAAATATATCACCCTTCCTGAATCTGGGCCTATAGATGAACCAACCGTGGACAATTTCACCCTCATAATAATGTCTGTGATTCACAGTCCTGTTTCATAATATGTGCTGTGCTTCTGAGTTGCAAGGATGTCTGCTAGTGGGCAGCGCTCCCACTTTCTTTCATATGGGCTACGTATAGTTAGTTGCTGTTCAAATACTAGAGAAGGGTGGAAATGCGTTGCTCTCTAAATTATTACCAGCAGATCTCAGGAAACAACAAAGCCCCAGCAATAGAAGATGTATCTCTTGGTATTCCACCTCAGCAAACACATAAACAAGTAAATCTCTGAAATATTTCTGGCCAAGATTACTTACCTTCTTTATTTCCCGTTCTTCTTCCCAACCAGGCGAAAAAGCAGATGTCAACCATATTGTAGACAAACTCTCCGAGCTTGTAACTACCAGGCCTCAGCCATCTCCTTCAAATGTGACATTCAAGATGCTGGTGCATACCCAGGCTCTGGAAAAAGATAGTGGAGATACTGCTGATGAAAATGAGGGTGAAGGAAATGGTAAGGGGGAAGTCTCATTCTCAGAGGCAATAGATCAGGTTGGTGTTGCAGAGCAAGGCACTTTCTCCAGGAATAGTGAAGCACTCAGAAGTTCTGTGGTAAGATGCTGTGAAGGGGGAAGTTTACTCTGCTAATTTCTGCCCTGTTCTCATATTTCAGGGATATCCTTTGCTACTTGCTACTGCAGTTAAAGGAAACATCCTTAAAAATCCAGGCAGGTGTGACATGCAAAAGGAGAATGACAGCAAAGGTGTCAGAGCAGTGCTTAGAAGTGGCAGGACTGGGTGTAAAACAGTTTGCTAGGGTTTTTAGACTAAAAGGCTTCTGGGACAATGATGTCAGTCCCTCTTCAGCGAGAGAACAAGATTGACCAGCAGCATCTGTTAAATATTTGAACTGTCTGTCTTCCATGGCATCTGCAGAAGTTTGCAGTTAGTGCAAGCTTCCTCAGGATTTCTGGTTGTAAGAGGGAGCCTCTCATGCTTACATTTTCTGTCATTTGTTAAACCCAGCGTTTGTTTTAATGCGTTGCAGAAAGTGCAATTGGCAATCAGGAGAGGAATCTCCTCCCCTAATTTCAAGTCCATATTCTTCAGCTTTTGCTAGCTGCTGCTTTGTTCTCTTATCAGCCATACCTCAAAGCTTACAGGGCTAGCAGCAGGATACTAAGGCTCCTTCCAAGGTTCTTAACTGGAGCAAAACGGTGCAGAGAAAAAGCATTGCCTGCTCCATGCAGACTAGAACTTTCAGATTATAGATCCTGGATATACAACTCTGTGAATTTGCTACAAAACAACATTTCTTCATGATTAGTAACATAAAGACTTTGCTATGATGTGCTCTCTGGATCCTACTGGAAGGCAGCAATATTTATGTCAATTTCTTTTCTTTAACAGATGAAGAAAAGACAATACAAACAATAGTTGCACTGTTAAGAAAATCAGGGGATCAGCTAGAAGAAAGGGTAAGTCCTTCTGCTTTCAGGAGCTACACAGGCTAGAGTGAAGAGAGAGATTACACATTTACCAGGAGTAAATGTTTCGTAGCCATCCTCTCTGTCTCTGTCCTGAACCTCTCTTTGCACCATTTGAGGCTTTCTGAATCCACCACCATTCGTTCTGAAATCTCAATCTTCAGACCAGAAGACTAGCACAGATTTTTGTTGGAGTGTAGGAGGAAGACAACAAAAAGATGTGCACTTCGAAGGTTCACCTCCCTCAATCCCATTGAGTTTTGCTAGACTTTGGGCACTTGACTAACTCTGAGAACCTCTTGTGCTTGCATTAAATTTGATGTACATGTTGTTCTCAGTGGAGGAAAAGAAGACCTACAGCTTTAGAAATTGCTATAGAGAAAGGAAAATAAGTCTTCTGAGTGCATTTTGGAAGTTCTGCTCAGAAGCAATACAAGAACTCTTGCATATGTTCATTAGTAGGAGTATTTTTCCTATTAAAAATATAGGATATTTGTCTTCTTAATGCCTTTCTTTAGCTGCAAATGGGACTTAGTACAGCAGGTGCTGCTAGTATTTCTCTTTATCTTGCCTTCAATGTCATCCTTCCCCTGTACTTCCACATGCCCTCAGCTACAGGTGAGGTGACATACCAATGTCACGCTTGTTTTGCTTTCTCTCTCTCTGCTTCTCTTACCCAAATCCCAAAAAAACTGAAGATTTTTTTTTTTTTTTTTTGAGACAAAAAAGTAGAGGCATTTCCAGACCCTGAGGGAATAGCTCTGCAGTGAGGTGCAAGGTCTGTGTATCATCTCCTGCATTCAACACCACAATTAGCTTGTATTGCATATATTATCTAGAGAGGCTCTCCTTTCCAAGTAGGGAAGATAAAGCAATTACAACAGAAGTGGCTCAACCTTTATTCTTATTTTTCAGTTCAAAAAGGACAGGAGTTTCTATCAGCGTTTTGAAGATATGCTGTCCTATGCCTTCTTCGAGAGACTCACCGATTTATTCCTGGAGAATGTCTCAGCAGATTCCACAACCGAGACAGAAGATCAGTTACAATGCACCAAAGTTGCCTTTGCACTGGAAGTCACCACCAGACTTACTGCTGTGGACAACCATCCTATGAACCTGGTCATGGGCTTTGGATTAAAGTACCTCCAAGAACACTTAAGTCCCTGGATTCGTGATCGTGGGGGCTGGGTAAGAGTTTTGCCTCCCTTGACTCATGTGTAATCTAGAAGTACATACTTTCACAGAACTAGCATGGGCCTGAGGCACATCAAACCTAAAAGTTATTCTTGAACACAGTGTGTACTTAAGCTGTGGATTTGCTTGCTACAGTACATCTTCTATGCTGCAAGCTGTTTATTTACATAGATCCAAAAATTAATAGGAGACATTCACGCTGCTCAGCATAACACAATATTCCTGGCACAAACAGACTGTCCACCACAAAAACCTGAAGACTAGTAAAGACATCAGGAAACTTAACCACATGCTTGGCGTAATCTTAACCTTCTCCCTAAAGTCTACTGCTGGCAAGTTCTGGGAGCAGCATAGTAGTTCATCTCTTCATACAGTCTGCCCTTATGGTATGTTTTATACCTCCATACACAAGAACATCTATTTATCTTCAGCAACACTGTTCAAAGTGCTTTTTGTCAGCAGTAGTGCAGAGATGCTGCCCTTTGTAACTTGTTTACCTACCTTGTTGAGAAGCAAGAGATCCTAGTAGATTTGTACTTCATAAATCACTGTAAAGTATATGTCCATTGGAATAGACAGCATGTGAGATCAGGAAGTTCTACTAGACTGACCCCAGCAGATTTGAAAGTAGGATCAGAGTCATCATTGCTTTTAAAATTTTAAGTTTTCTTTCTCTATTACAGGACAAGGCTTTGAGTTCACTGGATCAAGAAGAAGTAGAATAATTGTGACTGAGTTCATTCTTCAGGGTGCCTGAGCCTACAGTTAAGGAACACACAGAATTTGATACCACTGGCTACATATTTTTATTTTTCACATGGAATGTCTGACTGTTGCATTTCTAAGTCTGATGGGTACAATAGCACTTTCTCAAAGTAGGTATTGATGTACTTTCTAGTGGATCTGAACTCACTTCCAACATCCCTGGAGCATTCAGCCTCACGGACAGTGATTTCAGTTAGATTTCTGGGTACAGTTGCTTGCAACTACTCTTACAGGTGGATGTTAAAATGCACATGGGAGGAAAAGAAGGGTAAGCCATCAGTTACCAGTCCCGCAGTGCCTTGTTAGTAGGTGTACCCACATACTACTGTCAGTCTTGCCTCTCTCTCCCTTTCCCTGCTTAGTTTCTCCAAAGTATTCATGCCATCTTATAATTCTGACAGGGACTAAGTTAATGGAAGCTATTTGCTCCAGTGCCTTCCACCTTCCCCCAAGATAATAGACTTGATCTACCTTAAGGTATTTTAATTTGAGTTCTTCTGTTATAAATCTCTTCAAAGCATATTGCAATAGATGCTGGCTTTTACATTGCTATTTTTTTCCACTGAAGTGGAAAATACAAGCATGGTGAGAGATTTTTTATCCAAGAAATTTAAAACTTAATCCTAGTGTGTGTTTCTCATTATAGAAAAGAAGCTCGATGCTGTTTAATCTCAGGGATTTCTCAGTAAACAGAACTGTACTTTCACTCATTGAAGATGAACGAACTCATTAGAGTTCCTGAAGCTGTAGGTGTGGCAGAGGAAGGAATAACAGCTCGTCATTTAAAGCAGAGATGCGTTCCAGTTAAGCTATTCATTATTTTAAGTCTTGCCTTGTGACACATTTAGTCATGACTTTTGGATTTCCATCCCCTGAAAATCCTCAGTGGATGGAGAGGGAACTTGGAACAACTCCTGAAGCTGTACCATCGTGGTGTTGCTCCTGTGATTTTCTAGTACAAAGAGTTGTTTTTTCTGAAAATGCTCTCTGCCCCTCAGTAAGATGCTCTCCTATTACAGGTACTCATTCTGACTGTACAAGTATGTTATCTGTTGAAATTGCATGAGGAACTTACTAACAAATTATGAATTTGAATGAAAGTGATAAAAAGCATTTTAACTGGGTGTGTAAAATATGCAATACCATAAAAGATGAAGTATTTTTCTAATAAACCTTAAATTTTCAACTTATGTGTAGCAAGCTGCTGCTGTTTGGACATGTATGTGTGAAACAAAACAGAGAACAGATGCTGGAGTGAGCTTTGTTTCCCTGTTTCAAAGGACTTGGGAAACAGTTGTTACATCTCTAAACTGTAAATTTAGAATTAGTTGTTAAGAACATTCAGTCTTTCTGATCACTTCAGATATCCCAAAATGGGGGCTGGGTCTGGGGCAGCATAATCTGGGGAGAGAGACAAGCATTTAACCAGAAGCTCAATTTGTTATTTTTCTAAGGAGAAAAACATCCTTCCTTTTGTCTGACGCCTTTTTCCAATGAAAAGTGTTGTGTGGTGTAATGCCCTTCCTCACACTAGAGGCTGCTGTTTTATTTATTATAAATTTGATTGGCTGCAAAAGCAAGCTTGTTAACTAGATGTTGGCACTGAGGAACTAGAAGTGATTCCACTTTAATTACAGGCAGACCAGACTTTGTCTTCTGGCACATACCAGATTGCCATTTGTTGAGCGCTAGCCTGTGGAAGTCTCTATTTTTTTGTCTTGAAGAACAGTCTGCTGTTTAGGTAGGTGAAAATTTTGCATTTGTGAGTGCGATTTTTAAGCTGAAGGTTTAAGAACTCTGAACCCACACTTGCCTCTCCTTCCCAATCTGGTACTCAGGGCTAGTTTCATGCCAAAGACGAAGCCAAGATAGCAGGACAGCAAGATAGACAATTTTGGATGTGAATGTGAATACTAGCCATCTAAGAAAAGATGCTCAGCTGGTTTTTATTTGCTCTGGGTAGTTCAGAGGGACTTTTTCAGTAGCAGTAGGGGCCAGCATAGATAATCAGCCAAGTGAGCTGTTTCTTATTTAGTCAGTCTTACATTTATCATCCACGTCAGTTAGACTTTAAGAGCAACCTACTCCTTTTATGGCAGAGATCTGTGGTAACCTTCTTGCTGGAATGATGGTTTTGGTTTATTGTGGGAGCAGTCAGCAAGGCTGAGCACCAAGTTGTTGTCCCTGCTCCTGGCTGGTATTAATTAGCAAAATTCTACTACTGGCTCAACCAGTCTTGCCTTGTTTTCTTTTTTTAATCTGTGATGACTAAGCCAGTGGCAGACAAATGTGTGAGTCTGGGATGTGTATGGGAGTAGAGGGAATGTTGTGAAGGACAGTACCTGTCCATGCCTTCATTTTACTTGAGTGTCTCACAAGAAATACTTCTCCCTGTATTGCTGTAGGACCCTGTGGTGACAATCTGGGGTGTTACTTTGAAGATAGAGTGGTCTACTGTTAAAACAGATTGGGTTGTTTGGGTCTGCTATTAAAGAATCATAGAATGGCTTGGGTTGGAAGGGGTCTTTAAGACCATCAAGTTCCAACCCCCTGCAATATAGATATATATATATACATATATATATATTACTACATATCTAAGCTGTTTGTTCTATCAGCTAACTCAGTTTTAAAATGAGCTTATTTTACTGAGCACTGAAGTTTCAAAGACAGAGTGTAGCCCTCTGTAGGCAGTGCCACAATTTATCTCATCCTGCAGTTGCCTTCTAGGCTGTGTAAAATTGAGCCGGTCTGCTGGGGCAACCTAGGAGCTGCTGTTCCAATCTAACTCACCCTCCATGAGCCAGAGCTCTTACTGTAAGTGGAATCTGCCCCCAGTGCTGTTCCTGATGTTAAAGCATCAGAAAAGAGGATCCCACTGCCCATGTGTGTAGACACTGCACAAATGGGCTGTGCCAAGGCTCATGGCTGCAGCACCCTTAGCCCAGTGAGTAAGAAGCAGGAGGTAGAAATGACAGAATACAGTCTGGAGTCCTTGCCCCAAACCAAACATTCCAATGCTCCATTGCTTACCTTTGTTCCAGCCATCAGAGGAGGGATTTCTTTTGTCTCTCAGCTGGTAGAGCTGCAGTTTTCCTGTGGAACAGGCTGGTAAAGTATTAATTCTTCTTGCTGTATCACATGGCCTCCATCCTTTCAGAACTGTCTCCTTTTTCCTTCCCACAGGAGAAGAGTGAACACCTGCATTTCAGTAGTCAGCAGGTTGACAGAAAGTGAATTGCAGTGGAATAATGAGGGGAATAGCCCAAGAGATACCACTGTCTGAAATGTGGATTTATGGTCTAAGATTCGTCTTCTGCCAAGTCCAAAAACCTGGAAGAAGTTCAGGGTGAGAAATTCACAGTTGGGGCACTGAAGTGTGAGTGAAAGGTGAGAACTGAGCAGAAAACATTAAAGCCTTGCTTGTTCATTGTCTGTTCTGTGCTTGCCAGGGGTGGTATAAACTCCAAAAGAGAGACAGAAGTTGTGGAGAAGTTGCTGAATATCTAGTGCTGTGGGGTGGATTAGGATATGTCCTTGGGTTGGAACTACTGCAGCTCATCCTCATCGGCCAACAGAACTTTTCTCCTGTGTCCCCTGACTTGCTCCACTGCATTTCTGCTTCACCCAAAGCAAAAAAGCTTTTTTTGCTGGGCAAGATGCACAAACAATGCATTTTCCTGTCTAGGGTGATGGAAATGATGAGTTGCAAAAAGATTTCTTGCTGGAGTCAGCATCATTGCTGGCTGATATGATCTCTGTGTTGACTTTCAAGATAGCCTTCTTTTCATCTTCCTATCCCAGGGTCACCCTTGGTAGAAGCATGCAAAACCTGGCTCTTATCTCTGTTCTAGCAGGAGGCAGAGATGCTTCCTAGGCAAAGTCAACATGCTAATGCAAATCCAGCCCAGTTCATCACTGGGACATGCTGGAGAGAGATTGAATCTAGGTTTCTGGAAGATAACTATTATAAATGGAGATTTCTGCCTGCCCCTGCAATTTCTACTTCAAATACACATTATACATAGCACTGCAGTGGAAAAATTGAGTTACACTCTGTGCTAGTTATCTGAATCTGCATTTGCTTGAATGACAGTTAGCTGATCTGACACTGTGGGTGTGAAATGTGTTTTTTCGTCCTTTATACTCTCCCTGCTGCAAAGTCTGAAAAGGCATATCCAGAGGAGTGGTGCTCCTCAGGGGTCAGTACTGGGGCCTGTTCTGCTGTTATCTTAATTGATAAGCTGGACAAAGGGATTGAGTGCACCCACAGCAAATTTGCAGATGACACCAAGTTGGGAGGAAGTGTCAATCTGCTTGAGAGTAGGATGGCCCTCCAGAGGGATCTAGTGGGCTAAGACCAATTGTTAGCTTCAAAAAAAGTTGATTTCCCTCATGCTTATAAGCTCCCTGTCTTAGCTGACAACCATCTGAACACGAGCCCAGGTGGCCAAGAATGCCAATGGCATCCTGACTTGTGTCAGAAATAGTGTTGCCAGCAGGAGCAGGGAAGTTATTTTCCCTCTGTACCCAGCCCTGGTGGGGCCACCATTTAAATACTGTGTTCAGTTTTGGGCCCCTCACTACAGGAAAGACATTGAGGCCCTGGAGTTTGTACAGAGAAGGGTGATGAAGTTGGTGAGGGGTCTGGAGCATAAGTCTTCCAAGAAGGGGCTGAGAGAACTGGGATTGTTTAATCTGGAGATGAGGAGGCTCAGGAGAGACCTTATAGCTCTCTACAGCTACATGAAAAGAGGTTGTGGTTGGGTGCATATCAGCCTCTTTTCCCAGGTAACAGTGATAGGACAAGAGGTAGTGGCCCAAAGTTATGCCAGGGGAGGTTCATGCTGGAAACCTTGTCTGGGATAACTGTGTTAGGAAAAATTTCTTCTCAGAAGGAGTGGTGAGGTATTGGAATGGGATGCCCAAGGAAGTGATGGAGTCACCATCCCTGGAGGTGTTCAAGAAATGCGTAAATCATAGAATCATAGAATTTCTCAGGTTGGAAAAGACTTTCAAGATCATTAAGTCTGACCACAATCTAACCATACTCCCCTAACTCTAACAAACCATCACTAAATCATGTCCTTGAGCACCACATCCAAACGGTGTTTAAACACATTCAGTGATGGTGATTCAACCACCTTCCTGGGGAGCCTATTCCAGTGTTTAACAACCTTTTCTGTAAAGAAGTTTTTCCTGATATCCAACCTAAAACTCCACTGGCGCAACTTGAGGCCATTTCCCCTCATCCTGTCACCTGTCACCAGTGAGAAGAGACCAACACCACCCTCGCTGCGATCACCATTCTGGTTTTTGAAGAAAGCAGTGAGGTCTCCCCTCAGTCTCCTTTTCCCCAGACTAAACAGCCCCAGTTCACTCAGTTGCCCCTCATAGAGCGTAGGTGTCACTTAGGGACATAGTTTAGTGTGCATGGTGGTGATGTGTTGATAATTGGGCTTGGATGATCTTAGAGGTCTTTTCCAACCTTAATGATTCTCTAATTCTATGATCTGCTAGGTTGGTCCTATTTTCTAAACAGGCAAGAGAATAGACATACTGAAAGGTTTTCAGTGCTCATAATATAGTGGCAGAAAGGTAGATAAGTGTGAGACTTTTCATGCTGAACAAGGCCAGAAGGAAGTCTTTGGTGGTGCCAGGTGTGACTAAGTATTTAGTGTGGATGCTTGTCCTGAAATTAAAAATTTCTGGTGGGTTGAGGCTCTCGAACTGGAGGCAGGGGCTGGACCATACAAGGATACAGGAAAGCTATGGTAATGAGAAGCATCACAGTGCAGCTGTGCTTGTAAGCAAGTGACTCAGAAGTCATGGTAGGAGGAAAATGAAGCAAGAACTGCTCTCTAGCACTAACCATCAGAAATATTTTCTGTTGCATACGGGATGCAAGAATTACTTCAGGCATTATTATCATTTTATGCATTGGAGAAAAAGTGGGGGTGACCTTGTGATAGACCTCCTCTGGCAAAGATGAAGAAGGCCATTAACAACAGCCAAATTTTGTGCTTTTTGTTGCCAATCCCAGATTTAAAAAAGCCATGAGTTAGCTCCTCTACCTCCCCCAGAAGAACCCTGAAAGTTTAACCCCTTCAGTTTTGAGGCATTTATTATGGAGATATGGGACAGAATTTGCCCTGCATGGCTGTTGCTGTGCTCTACCAGCTCACAAGG